CCCACCAGCGACCTCATCCTCATCCCCATGATGAGGTGAGGGACAGGCACTTCTGTGTAGAGGTGCACTCCAGGACCACCTCTGTTGGGTGGCTAAAAGCATGAACTTTCAGGTAGAGGGGGTCATGGAACAGAGGTCCTTATGGTTGATGTTTTGGCACCAGAAGTCCCTCCAGGATGTCATTGCCAATAATTAAGACCATCCAAGCCAATGCTAAGGCCATCTGGCAAACACATATGGCCAAGGGGATGGAGCAAAAATACCTCAGACCCACAGACTTGTTCACTCACTCTCATCTGTGCTTGCTGGTGGTTGAGGCAAGTGAACAAAAAGGAAAGGCAAGGTCACCAGGCCCCGGCAAGGTCTCACAACATCGTCACTCAAGATCCGTCTGACAGCCGTTTCAGCTTTTCAGTGGGGTGAGTCCAGTTGTTTGGTGTTTGCCAGTCCCATTGTCAGGCGCTTCCTGAAAGAGCTGGAGGGGCTACACCCTCCGCTAAGACAGCTGACCTTGATGTTGGACTTTCACCTGGTCCGTTCACGCGTCACAGGGCCTCCCTTTGAGCCTGTAGTGATCTGTTTACTCTCCTGTACTTTTCGTGGAAAGTGGCCTTTCTAGTGGCTATCACCTCAGCTAGAGCTATATCGGACCTGTGGGCTCTGACTTTGGAGCCACCGTACACCATCTTCCATAAAGACAAAGTTCAATTTAGACTGTATCTGGCCTTCCTGCCAAAGGCGGTGTCTCACTTCCATACCAGTCAGGACATCTTTTTGCCTGTGTTTTATCCAAAGCCTCACAATAACTCATATGAGCAGAGGCTGCACTCTCTGGATGTCAGAAGAGCATTTGCTTTCTACGCTGACTGCACAGTCTTTCAGAAAGTCAACTCAGCTGTTTGTTGTGGGAGCGGAAGGAATGAAGGGGATCCTGGTCTCTTTGCAGCGAATATCCTCTTGTATCTGCACAATGCTACAGTCTATCCAAAGCCCTTCCACCTAGCATCATGGCACACTCTGCAAGGGCCCAGGCCTTGTCGGCTGCGTTTCTGGCTTAGATGACTCTTCAGAAGACGAGCAGAACACCAACACAGTCTTCTGTACACACATTTATATGGCACGGTGCCATCAAGCCAAAGAGGATGCTACAGTGCAGTGCTATGGTCAGCAATTCCTTGACTCAAACCCCACCTCCTAGGTAAGGCTTGGGAGTTACCTACCTGTAGTTGATATGAACAAGCCCTTGAAGAAGACTTTCTTATAGCTGTTCTTCAAGATGTGTAGTTCATACCTATTTCACACCCACCCACCTTCCCCTCTATTAGAGTAGCCAGAAAGAAGGAACTGAAGGAGGGTCAGGTTGGCAGGACCATATATAGAGCACCATACCGGTACCACTCCAAGAGGCTCCACAGCTGAGCGGATGGGTAGCTGCTAGGGAAAATGTCTAACAGCTTGTGTGCCAAACTGGAATGGATATGAACAACACATCTTCCAAAGAACAACGGTTACGAGAAGGTGAGTAACCATCTTTTATTGATATCCCTATCTGAAAGCAATGGTGGATTCTGTTTAAATGCTGCCTCAGTGATACAGTGTTTATCAGCCTGGTTTACCAGATTAGGTTTTTTCTTTTTTTTTTTCCAAGTTAGAATGCACTGTTCATGGGTTCAGAATAGGGATGTAAGTGACTACTTGAGTAGACGAGTCGGTACTCAACTAGTTGCCCCTCCCCCCGCCTTTGCTGCCATCAGAGGCACCAAGAGGTGGAGCAGGAGCCAGTGCTGGGGGGAGCCAACTTAAAAGCCGGTTACCCTCAGCACCGTCTTTTCAGGGGAGCAAAGGAGGCCACACGCAGAGCAGATGCGAGCCAGGATAGCTGAGTCTTGGCTCGTGCCTGGTCCTCCGCTGAGGCTCTGCCTTTTAAATGTAGTAATAGCTGGGTGGCAGAGCCTCAGTGGGGTTAGCTCTCAGCCTGAAAACTAACCCTGCTGTGGTTCTGCAGTTTCCCCCCTTATTGATTATTTGAGTAGTCAGTGGACATTCCATTGACTACTCGATTAGCTGATTAAACGTAATTTAACGTCCTTAGTTCAGAAATATAAATTCACTCCAAACCATAATGCACAAGGCTCTGTGTTGTCACAGATAAAACTGTCACCAGATTTTGTGTGTATGTTGTCACAGATAAAACTGTCACCAGTGTGTGTGTGTGTGTGTGTGTGTGTGTGTGTGTGTAGATTCAAACAGTTGGAGATAGTGCAAATAAGAAAAGAGACCAATGAGAGGGATGATGGAAAAAGATTGAAGTAAAAGAATAGAACTTAGATCTATTTACTGTGGTGTCTGCAGAGTG